CCACTCCTTGCACTTGCTCCATCAAGTCCGATGAGCGATTTGTGCCAGCACCAGTCTTACACTGACTCGTCCAATCTGGCTTGCGACTGACTGTACGACTTTGCGCATTTCCCCCCACGTTCGCTCACGCTACATCCTTGTCTCGAGTGCCACAAGAGCGACCAAGTGGCACCTTGATAGTGAGTATGCGCTGTCCCAGCCAGTCTTGAATTATCCCCTTCTGTCTTACCTTGCGCGGCCTCATTATAATTTTGCATTCTTAGAACATCGTTTATGGTTGTTTTGTGTACCCACTTGGTATTCTCTCAAATAACATCGTAAACCACATCCGGCCTTGTTTTGTGGAATTTTCTCACTTTTCCACTTGTTGCTCAATCCTCTGCCGCAGAAGCACGAACACTGTAGTGTTTACTGAGGATCTGAATGCTCAAGTTGGCAAATTGTCCACTGTTGAGATGCATCTGGGTGACCAACATAGTGTAGGCTCCGAAATGATAACGGTGAGTGGTTACTTCATATGTATGAAGATGTTCGCTTATTTCTTACGAGCATTAACTTCCGACACACCACCCGTCGGAAGGTGACATGGCGCCTACCAGCCATAAGCACAAATCGATCACATCGCGATCAATTCTCGCTGAAGAGGCTGCGTCTAAAACTGTCGCTCGATTTGGAGCACATGTTTGGTCACTGACCATGCACTTGTATGTGCTGATTTGCCAGTGCGTTTTGGCGTTCGCCCTCGACGACCCTGTAAGCGCATAGATACCAACTAACTGGCGAAGCCAGATGTTCTGGATGCTTCTCGAAGTACACTGGTGTTCGGGTTGAGCAAACGCTCACTTAATACAGCTGAAAGTCACATGGTCACCAGACCTTTCTAGAAGCAAGTCAATCATCTTGTGGTAAATCTGCTAGCTAAGTTAGATGTTGGATCTCTTCGCAGTCTTTAGAACTTATCGATGTTCGCCGGCGCATTTCGTCTGGTAGTGAACACAACGAGACTCGCAAAGACATCAGGGCAAAACCGCATGCTAGCATGCAGAGAGACCGCGAACCTTGGTTGTCTCATCGTTCGTCAGAGATGGAAGTGGCCGCTACCCTTGGTAACTATCGGAAGTTATTCCTTTTGATACAAGAAATAGGCAACAGGAAACCTGGTATTAGTGAAACTATTTGTGACTAGAGTAGTCACTCTATCCACAACTTCTCAAAACGTTTGGAGTGTTGGGCTGATCATTTTGAAAAGTAATTTAATCGGCCGGAATTGTTAGATCCCTCACCGAGCAGTGATTGCCCTGCTCCCTGGGTGCCCTTGACATAAATGATGCCTTCGACTCAGTCGACCGATGTGCCCTTTGGGACTGTCTGCTGAGGAAAGGTGTGCCTGATACATATGTAAACATTATCAAAACCATGTACGCGCATAGCTCGGGCAGGTTGAGTGTTTATGGCAAACTGTCGCCACCCTTCCGTATCACCAGCGGTGTGAGACAAGGATTCCCGTTGTCACCTTTCCTCTTCAACTTCGCTATTGATGAAGTCATAGAAACAGCGTTCGCTGGACACGACGTAGAAGGTGTGGAGCTACTTCCTGGTGAGCGACTTCTTGACTTGGAGTATGCGGACGATATTGCCCTAATCTGTGACAGCTCCCAAACATGCCAAACAGCACTGGACCGATTAGCACTGGCTGTCAATCCTTTTAGGCTATGCTTTGCTCCATCGAAATGCAAAGTACGTCTCCAAGAGTGGCAAGGGCCCAACCCTGCGCTAACGCTTGGTGGTGATCTGCTAGAAGACGTTCAAGAATTCAAGTATCTGGGCAGCTATGTTAGCACGTGTGGGATTGAAGATGAGATTACGAACTGTATAGCAAAAGCTCAAGGTGCTTTTGCCAATCTCCGCCACCCTGTGGCGCGGACGTGACATTACTCTCACCCTGAAGGGCAGAGTTTACAACGCAGCCGTCCGTTCAACTCTCCTATATGGCAGTGAATCCTGGCCCATCAGGTCGACAGACATAAAGAGGCTCGTCATATTCGATCATCGCTGCCTTCGCAGATTAGCTCATGTCTGGTGGGAGCCCCGCGTGAGCAATGAGCGTGTTCGACGTCGCGTATTTGGTGCAGAAAGAGCGAGTGGACCGCTCAGCACCATTATATCACGCACCAGGCTCCGATGTCTGGGCCACATGTTGCGCATGCCAGCACACCGACTCCCGCGACGTGCATTGTTTGCGCGTTGTGGATGCGGTTGGAAGAGGAGGAGGGGAGGCCAAGTGATGACTTGGTCGAGAGAAATGAAAACTCTCACTTCGAATTTGGCGTCGGTTGGTGCATCCCGATTGCCTGGCTGGGGTTCTAAGGACGGTGAAGACGTTTGGTTGGACACACTTGCTGATATGGCTTAGAGCCGGCCCCAATGGCGTTTGTGTTGTGAGTTCCTTTGTCCATTCCCCTCCTTCTTGGCATCCCTCTCCAATCACGATCTCACTTATTAGGCATAATATGACTATCTTTTACGGCAGCCAGCTGTTAGCTCTCCGGAACGATGCCCATCCGTTACTGGGGACTCAGCGGGCGTGCCACTGTTTGTTTTTTCTTTTCTTGTCTTTTGTATTGCGGCACAATAGCTGAGGTGTTTTCCACCTCCGGCTAACGTTTAATGATGCTGATGATCCCTGGGCTGTCTCTTTGGATCGGCCATCTCGCTCAGAAGTCCAACGTGAGATCGGACTGTTGGAATTGAATAGAGCCGCTGAATCCGATTTGTCTTTATGCATTTCTCTTCAAATTCTGGGACGCTGCTCTCGTTGCTGATTCACACGAATTACTAGTGAAACTGTGGGAGCAGCAAACTGACCCAAGCAACTGGAACCGCTTCGTTATTTTTCACATCTTCAAATGAGGCTCGCGTTCGTATTGTGGCAACCATAGGTGAATCAGTCTGATCCCCATCGCTTCCAAATGACTTGCCTCTGTAATCCTTCAGAGACTGGCTGGCGCTCGTGAAAGCCAGTTTCGTGAGGAGCAAGCCGGGTTTCGTCGACGTCGTGGCTGCATTAACCACATGTTCACTTTGCGTCAGTTGTTGGAGCACCGTCACATACATTGTCGGTGCACCGTAGTCCTATTCCTCGACATCAAAGGTGCCTTCGATTCGGTGGATCGACGTGCCCTTTAAGACTGCTAAAGAAAGATGTGCCCGAGAAGTATGTAAACATTATGCGAGTGATTTATGTGCGTAGCACGGGCAGAGTGAGGGTTTACGGCAAACTGTCTCCGCCTTTCGATGTTTCCAGCGGTGTAATACAGATGTGCGCTGTCACCTTTCTTCTATTGATGAAGTCATGGAGATCGCGTTCACAGGACACGACTTGAAAAGCGTGGATTTGCTCCCATGTGATCGACTTCTTGGCTTTTGATATGCTGACAATGTTGCCCTCATCTGTGACAGCTCTCAAATGTGCCAAGCAGCACCGCCCAGATTAAAATAAACAAAGATGGTGTCAGTTTTATGTCGTAACAGCGTTTCGCTGCCGCGTGACTACCACCAGTCGCGCGTGGACTGAGTATACCGCGAGAACGCCCGCTCCTACGCGCATTCGAATTGGTGATCTTATGATTGCATTCCAGATGTGCAGACCACTCGGCTACCGACCGACGCTTGAGAGATAATCATAGGATGTCAACCGTTTCGGGCCATACTTTGCACCTTCAAGGTGCAAATCTTTCCTCCTAGCTTGGCACGTACCGCCTCCTGCGCTGACCCTCGGTGGAGTGGGCTTAGCTAGAAGTCATTCAAAAATTCAACAACCTTGATAGTTGTATCAGCGCCGTTGGAATTGTAGACGAGGTCACAAGCCATATAGCAAAAGCACGAGGCGCTCTTGCTAAGCTTCGCCACCTATGGCGCTGGCCTAACATCGCTCTCTCCTTGAAGATAAAGTGTACAATGCAGCCCTAGGTTCGCCCCTACTGTACGATTGTGAAATCTAGCCCATCAGATCAGGCGACATAAAGAGGCTAGTTACTTTCGACCAAAGTTTGGCTCATATGTGGTAGGAACACGGTGTGAGCAGTGAGCGCCTTGTTTATGACACAAGAAACGAAACGCTCAGCACCGTTATTTCACGAACCAGACTCCGATGGCTCGGACACGTGTTGCGCATGCCAGTCCACCAACTCCCGCGACGTGCGTTGTTAGTGCGCCGGGGGTGCGGATGGAAGAAGAGGGTTGGTCATGCGATGACTTGGTCAATAGGAATGAAGGCCCCTACTTCGAAGTTGGCCTCGGTTAGAGCCTTTCCGCTTCCTCGTTGGGGATCAAAGGACGATGAACACGTTTGGCTGGATACACTTGTTAAAATGGCTAGGAGCTAACCTCAATGGCGTTTGTATTGTGAGTTTCTTTGTCCCTCCCCCCTCCATCCACGATCTCATTTATTAGGCATAATAAAACTCATTTTTTGCGGTTCAGTAGCCGACTTTAGCTTTCGGGAACGATGTCTATCCGTTACTGGTGACTCAGCCGATGTACCTCTGTTTCAGATTTTTTTCTTTTTTATTGCGGCTGGGGTGTTTTCCACCTGAAGCTAACGTGTATAATGAATGATAATGCTGCTCAATCCTCTTAAGCGGCTTGTCCCTTGCACTGATTTCTAGCCGCAGTGATTTTGACAACAGTTTCCTGTCCGTTGACTGCTTCCGCGTATGTTGTGTATTCGCACAAATAACTGATTCTCGGAACTCGAAAACAGTAATCCAGATTGACTGAGGCTAGACATCCCTGGCTGCCAAGTTAATGTCTCCATCGACCAAAAATGCCACTTCTTTGTGTCTTTGTTGGTCATTTCTTGCTCCATTATCCTTCTTTTGTTTACTCCTGCCTTCTTTCACCATTCATCGTAATGTTCAGTTGCACTATCAGTTAGAATCTATATACAATACGCATTATATCTATGAACCTTTGTTACTCGGAATCCCTTTTTTCCCGCAGCCTTTAGTGAGAAGCCATTCGTTATCGAATTCGAGTGATTTGCCACCAGAATGATGGATTATATTGAAGTTACTTCTAACCCCATTGCACCGGATGCCTTCCTCAATCACGATGACTTACCTGGGCAGAAACTGTCTAACAGCGACTTTCGCAAGCTGCTCATGACTCCTCGTCTTGCAGCGCCTACTCCTACTCCAGACGATGGAAAAGCTCCCGTCGACTCAATGCGGGTGCCATCAGATCGTAAGCGACACGATGTCCCTTCCACTAACGCAGCACGCCAGAAACATAAACGCCATCATGGCCGCCACCATCGACGTGATCACGCCAAAGAAAATACCAGTGAGCCCGCACCACGCTATCGAGACAGAGCCAAAGAGAGACGCGATGGCAAGTTGATGGTCCCAGCTGATGAAGGGGATGAGAAAGAATATGAAAATGATGAAGAAGCCCTGTCACGTACGGCAGACTACCGGGCTGTCGCTCCGTCAACAGCCGCTGGGGCTTCACTGGCTGAACGCCGCCGCATGATCATACAAGAGTCTAAATACCTTGGTGGGGATATGGAGCATACTCATTTAGTGAAAGGTCTCGATTATGTACTCCTGCAAAAAGTACGCTTGGAGATTCAAAATAAAGAACTAGAAGCTGAGAAGGTTTTGGACGCGGAGCTACAGAAACCCGAGAAGGCTGATTCACAGCTTACCTCCGATGATGGGACACCCTTCCGCACTCGTCTAGCAGCAAACATATGCGATCTTCTATTTACTGAGCATCCGATTGAGCGGAACGAATATTTTCAGCCTGGTCGAATGGCCTACCGCATTGAGTTGGAAGATGATTCGGTCGACTTCGAAGTTCCAGCAACGGTCATCCGTAGTAAAGCAGATTGTATGCAACTGGATGGTCATGGACCAGCGACAATTACCACCAATGAAATTGTAATCAACAAATTAACACAAATTTTGTCTTACTTGCGGGCTGGCAAAAGACACGCTAAAAAGACAAAAGGGAAAAGTCGTTTTGGAGACAAAGAGGATTTAGGTGCCATTGTTGGCGCTGACCAAAATCATTCCTCTAAACCTACAGGTTGGTTCTTCAAGGATCATATTAATCATGCGTTACTGATTCTCTCTGAGCCTTTGGCCCGGTTTATCTCAGTTATAAAACGCTTATCGCTAGTGTATTCCTCTTCTAGTCAGTTTTACGAACTAATCCCGGCGTTCATATCCTTATTCATATAGCGCAATGAATCACCACCTCTGACCAACGGTTCGAATTCGCACGTCATTTCAAGTGTTTCGGTGTTGCTCCTCCCAATGCCTACACTCCATATACACACGTTAGCGGCCTAACTGCATCTTCCTGGACACAACAGCCAAGTATCTCCTCATTATTTCTAGTGATCATCTTTCGGCAGCGACTAAAGCATGCAAATGCAATCAATTATTACACTCGCTATACACCGTTTGGCTGTTAGCCTTGGGACAGCCTGTCAAAGCGTCCGCGCTGGACGTCGGTTCTAGGCTAACAGTAGTCGCAAATGACGATAACGGCATTATTCTGTCTTCTATCGGCAGGGTAATGAGTTATCGTTCTCATACTTTACGTAATAACTCACTGAAAACAGTCGTGTGTGGACACAGAATAAAAACCTTTATTTTTTCTCCCTTGTGATCCTTCCTTTCCAGCACATCGCTCTCACTTTTTGATTCAAGGAAAGTTCTCCCTATACCTCACTGATTAGCAGTTGCTAATATCCTCTGTTTTTATCATTTCTGTATGCATAATTACTGTCGTGTTGCGTTACATATTCAATGCTAATGCAACTGCTGAACTTTCATTGACTTAACTTGAGGATTGCTATAGGAAGTGTATGACTGCGCAACCCACGATCTACTTTTCTACCCAGGGTCGTCTTTTCTACCAAATGTACACTTATTGGCGTTGTCCAACATGCTGCGTGTATTGCAAACTAGGTCATTTGCATTAGTACTATGGCACGCGGAGTAAAACTAAGAAATCATCTGCCACTTCTTGCTTTCTTCCGAACCTCCGCTTATTCCACTCACACCGTAATTGCCGACAGCGGTCACCGAAATCGCCAGCGCTGTAGGCTTTCCATTTAAATAGTGTCGTAACGACCGCCCCTTCCGACTGCTAAGACCACCCCGTTTCTGTTCAACGTTATTGCTTGGCGACTAGTGGCATTTGAACCAGCGAAGTTTCTCGCCAAATAGTAGAGCCTCCTTAAAGTTTGTTTTTCATTTCTAGGAAGGTGCTGAAGGGTATCCATTAATTCTCGTTCTAATAATCTTGTTAAGAATGGCATTTTTGGCTCTCCTGCCGCTCCTCAGTGGTTGAAAATCTTAGACTCTAGCGAAGTTCCAAATCCTTCATGCTTGCGTTCCCCGTTAGCTTAACTTTTCCATCCGCAATGTTTTGTTTTCCTTATATATTCGTGTTGAACTCACGTTTCTCTTTTCTACCATCGTCTTGGTTTTTATTTTCACTGTAATTTGGCGGAAGCAATGGCGTCCATCGAACCAATCATGGCTGATCTGCATTGTACCTCGAGCGTGCTTGGTTACCACTAGTCCAATGACGGGTAGATGTATTCACGCTTCTCTCCCCATAACTTATATGCTGGTTTCCCGGTGGCTGAGCTTGATAATTTTATTGCGGACATTTCGCCATCAATTGGGATGACGTCTGCAGTGCGTTGTTGCGGATCCTGTGGCAGCGTAACCTAGGGAAGCCTCGGTGAGAGTACACCGAGCGTAGTGTGCGTGTGTTTTTATGTGTTACCGTAATTGGCCGTGTAGATGGACAGTTCGCATTCTGCTTGTCCGATGTTCATATGACCTTTAAATTTACCCCTCCCTGATTTGTTTTTCGTAACCTATGTGTGTTTTCTCTTGTGATCAATTCTGTTGCCCGATCTAATTGCCTAGTGCCCCCTCCTGCCTTATTCGATCCATTGACCTGGCAATCTCTTGCTAGTAGTGTTGCGTATATTTCATCCAGTTCAATTTTTCGGTTGATCGAATTCGCTATAGAGTGCCTTGCTTTCAGAAATCCCCTCGCCTGCTTTGCACTTCGACGCGCAATAATCCCCAGGTCGAAATGCTACGCGTCTGTACTGCCAATCACAATGATGTATAAAAACGTACGCACACTATGCCCGCCTCACTCTCACCAAAGATTCTCTGCGCTATGCAACAACACTGATGATCCCACCTCGATTGGTGATGAAACGTCTGCAACAAGATTGCCAAACTGAGAGAACAGTTCGATCGTCACTTGAACATTCCGATCTACCAGTTTTCGTTTCCATATGCTGCAGTTATTCACTTTTTTTGAACTACTTGCTTCGTAGTCTGACACTTTCCCATTGTGATACTCGAGCCATTTTATCTATCCGACTTGACTTGGTTCCTTTGTGCCTTTTCTGATCCACGACACTTTTTCCCTTATCCGGATCAGCTGAGCCGGACATCTTTGAGGGTGTTGGGAAGGACTATGTGCCCTCAAGTAGCCAGCGAAACCGAGCTCAACAACCCACTGGTGGCCCGGCTAATGATACAAAACGAGCGGAAGAGGACATGTCAAATTCTACCTCACGTCCTAAAGCCTCCTATTTTGAAGTCTCAGGTGACGCTGAACTGGCGGCCGACAGTGGGTCTGTGGGTGCTGCGAAAGAGTTCATGCAAGAGTTAAGTCAACGTTTCGGTCCAAAAGATGATGTGAAGGCTCAAGAAAAGGTAATTTTAAAATTATTAATCGAGTGATTATGATGTTCGAACTTTAATTCTTGTATTTTGCTCCCTGTTGACCAATCCTTCCTTGGAACAACTTTAACTTGACCTTGTAGTTGAGTGTGTTCTCTATTTTGGTCCGCCATTGTGCACCGAAGCTGGTCCACGTGTCTGGCCTCTCACTTGTTAACCCAACGGTATGCCTTTCTGCAAACGGGATGTCTGTATCACTCCCATAGTCAGATGTCTATCCAATTGCATGCCTTATCACCGGCATCAAGCACACCCTCTTCTGTTGTTCGCATCGTATATCTGTGTATAGGAACGGATAACCGAACTTTATATTGTTCCTCTCCACTTAATGCAGAGCGATATCTGGAAACTGCAGTTTTCTCTTTTCAGTTTTCCTTTCGCGTCTCCTCAAAGCGAGCTGCACGTTTGCTACAATTTCACAACTTGCTCCATAAATCGCATCTCTCACAGTAGTCCTACGGTCCTTGCCCTCTGCCGAAAATTGGATCAGTCTACCAGTTCCACTTCCTTTGCTTATCATATATCGATTTAGTAAACCAATCACCTTTGGTGGCTCCATCGATTAAGCCAAGCTTCATCTGTTCTTTGCACACTACCTGTGCACTACCTTGATGTTTAACAAACAGTGTGTTAACAACTTGCAGTTGTCCACGCACGCCGTTGATGGGTCGTCAATAGGACGGGCAGTTGCCACCGGCACGTACCCACTTGAAGGACACGAGATATACACACGAATGTACGCGCAAAACTAGTTCTCTTTCCCTTTAGGATCCCACCTATCACCAGTGTGCTTGTAGATGGGCGCTGCTCTTGAGTGCTCTAGCAGACGGTTCCATTATCACTGCTCGATCCACATCTGCTTTGGACACCAGCGAACCTGAAGACGAGAAGTCCGATAGTCCAGAAAAGCTACACCGTCTATCGACTCACATCTAACTGGCAGATTCTGGAGGTATATGCTAGCTGAGATTTGTAATGTCTCTCAGTTCAATGGTGATATTTTCCGAAGTCATTCGCTTGGCGAGTTTTTGTAACCGACTATTTTAAATTTCGTCAGCAGTGGTCGCCACTTTCGAACCTTAACTTGTAAAGTATCATTGCGAAACACCGTTTCTCCTTGCTGACTGCGGTCGCTACTGCACCAGTTAACCCGTCACTTGAGTACATTAACCTGATCCAATCCAATTTTGATACTGCATGCCCGTCCAGTCGTACGCAGCCAGTTTCCATTTGCACTCGGTGAAATTTAGGAGATCTAACATTCTGATTTTGAAGTTATAACGCCTTCATTTCGAAGAAAAGCCACAGTCACATGTTTTAGTAAGCATACACATATGAGGTGACGCCAATCGCACACTGCGTTATTTTCTAATTCGATCATGTCCCACAGCTAAATGTCTCAGTCCGCGCCCGGGGACTAATCTCCCATCGCCTAGCGCGATTTCATACTTCGTTTCTCGCACTCAAGATCTGTTCACTAAGGGCCGCTTAGAAGTTAAGCTGCTTTTTGTGGTCACTGGTTTGCAGACATGAGTCTTACTAGTGATAACACCTCGGTTGTCTGTTGCACAGATCTCAGTGTGTATGTGTGCTATCTGATTCAAGCTTCCAAGTAGTAATCACGTGTCAGCCTTTTCGTTTAGTTTCTCTCGTCATTGGATTCACGCCATATCGTACCGTTGCCTCGGATTTGTTACTGAAGTTGCCATCTCTCGTCCCTGTTAATGTCCCCGCTTGTTATCCAGTGTATTCCGCACTTTTTCTCAGGCCAGCTTGGAACGTTTCTTTGCCAAAACCAAAGTTACATGCTATGACGAATGTTACCCGGGTTTCGCCGAGTCGTACGATGCCATGGGTGATTCAGATGATGAGGCTGATTTCAGCAAGATGGATCTGGGTAACAAGAAAGGACCTGTCGGTCGGTGGGATTTCGAAACGCAGGAGGAATATAGTGACTACATGTCTAATAAAGAAGCTCTTCCTAAAGCAGCGTTTCAGTATGGCGTGAAGATGGCCGATGGCCGTCGCACTCGACGTCTTGGTCCAAAGGACGAGAAGGCTGAATTGGATCGTCAGCTACAGAAGATTCAATCCATCATCCAGAAACGGAAGCAATTAGCGGAGGATGTCGGTCCGATGACGAAAAATCCACGTTACTAATTGGGCGTCCTTGCTTTTCTTCGGACACTTCACTGTACATATTTAACGATTCGTTGGCCTTCTTATAAAACTTCTATCCTTTCTGTCCCAAATTAACTATCTCAGCATGAACTTCTTTCATTGTTTGATACCCCATCTCTCGTGTTCTTTCGTTCGCGCCTCACGTTCCATTTCTGCTTATACTTACTATTCGATGCACCGGTTTCGAATAGTATTCACCTAGGTTCATGTTTGCACGACGCCTATTTCGAGCCTAGAATTGCTGCCCAATAAATGTTGTGCTGTGTTCAATCATCCTCAATTTGAACCTGCTCACTGCACATTTGGCTTTTCTTTATATCCTGCTTCTCATCGATCGGCGAAGGTAGTGTGGTTACGCGATAGCTTCACTATGATCTGTGATAATGATTACATTGCTACGCTATTCTTGAGTAGTTCAGTATAAATTCTCCTTTACTTCTCTGGTTTTCACTCGCGGAATGTATTCTATTTTAATTCCCACCAACTGTGAGCAAAATGTCCCGATTTATGATGCCTAATTTTTGCGATATATTTATATTCACAATCTGATTACAGACAATGTTCCATCCGAACCATGGCGAGCAAAAGAGGGGAAACTTGATACAGCATGAGAAAAATACAATTTTGGGGGGTTACACACGCCGTTTGGAGTTTTGTGCTTGATTTGACATTAACTAACAGATGGTGCGATTGAACACCACTGTCGCCACTGATTTCTGTTGCGCGCCATAACCTCCTGCGTTTCTAACCACTGGCAGTCCGAATCGCATGGTCCCCATCCTGAAAGGCAAACCTGTCCGACGGATACTATGCTTAAGGTTTGCTTTTTTCATGCTCCTTCTCCACGTCATTGGTTGTCCACCGCGGCACTTTTTTCAATCGTTTTCGAGGAGCGCAACTAACGCTCAGCGGTGAAGGCAATAGGCCGGCATGCTCAATACGTGGCCGAGGCAACGCATGCGGTGTCAGAGAATAACGGTTGAGAGGCATTGGCTGTTTACTCCAAACACTAGCTTTCGGACTTGTGTTGCTCATATGATCTTGCCACCCCACGCGGGCAATCCTACGCAGATAACGATTCTCAAAACTGTATGTATGTATGTAATCTAAGCAGCCTAGCAACTAGACATAGAGCCAACAAAGCCATGGAGATTAGCAGATAATGGACCGTCATCGTGTCATAATCATCGTGGCAATCGCTTCATGTCTTCCTAGTGAATAGACCAAGTCTGACGGCGTGCAAAAGGGCCGCACGGACAGAGGAAATGTACACCCTGCCCTTCCGCTTGTGACTGACATTTCGACGACGCCATAGGCATCTCGATCTGCTGAATGCAAGGCGGGCCTTTGCGATCTGTTGTGGGACCTCGTCTCCGACACTGCTGCCAGCTGTGATGCAACTCCCTAAATAAGTGAAGCACATCAATGAAATCATCGTAAGTAACACCGGTTCTTCTTTACTTATTTCGGCAACGCTCTGATGACAGTAGTTGGGGTAAGTCAATGTTCCGATTTAGTCACGCAGGCAATGCGTTATAGCAGTATATGCCGTTAGATACACTGGAATTCCAGTGGCACGACATACTTGCATAGTGACTGGTGAGCATCACGTCCAATACAACCTAACGATTCATTCTTATTAGTGCCGCCTCACTAGTTCCCAGCTGTTTTGAATTTCGGCTGCGCTGTGATACCTTGAATGAGTTGACTGGATTCATCCAGTGACGAGTCGTTATGATGTGGTTCCTGAGTTGGGATTCCAGTTTAACCCTTTATCCATCTCTCCGTGTTTCATCAGCGACCAACTTGATTGTTTTACTAAACCCATTCCATAAGAAACTATTTCACCGCATTTTTTGCAGCATACCAAATGCATCTTTTTTCACTAAAGCTACGTGCTACTCATGTGCTTTCCGAGATAATTCTGCAAAATTCATTCACTGCCAATTATGGTATACTAATTTGTCTGTCAGCATGGCAAATGTAATTTACGGTACGACTTTATTTCATTGAAAGCGCCAATGGAGTATTAAGTGTTAGGAAGTGTGAGACCCACTCGGTCAATTCGAATCCCTTGATTTCGGTTTTGATTTCCAGCTTTTTGCCATTGCCAATCTACGACTATAAAATGCTTGTATGATTTGTGCAAAACATCTGATCGTATTTGACTTCCCCTTCTCTGCTTAGCAGTTGTCCTTCTTTGTTACCATGTAAAATAGCCACATAGTACAACTCCGATTGGTCGACATAGGATCTGGCTGCTACTGTTGCTCCCAAAATGTCGCTCTACGATTAGTTCCGTTCTCGCCTGTCTCTTCGCAGGCGGCCAACTCCAATCTGACGGGAACTGATTGTGTCTTCACCTCACGCTTGGCCCATCGGCATGAACGCCGTTCACGGGAGTGTGCGATACCAACGTCCCTTTTTGTGGTTGGGGACTGCCTTTTTTCTCTTTGGCTGTGCATGCAACAGCCCCGAAAGCATTCATTTGTCAGGCAATCATTAACTAAATGTACTCTAGCTGTGCTAAAGTTGACGTTCCGAACTTTCGGTTGGTTGTTCTGGCCTGTTGTTACCATATATTCGGTCTCGGATCGCTTATCAAGACTTTGCATTGTGAGGAAGCTTGATCTTGAAGTGCTATGTTTTGCACATCTCGACCGTTCATTGAGCGACGCTACGACACACTTTCCATGTAATTTCAAAGCCATCCAGATCAGGTAACTCAGGAGTTGCGAGTTAGAGACAAGTATTACTCTTCTCCAATTTAACATTGAGGAATAGTTAACCATCCTCTCTTAAAAGTAGAGTTAACAGTGCATGAATTATATTCTCAACTCCTATTTAGCGGTGTATTAGTTTCCCCTGACAATGAGAGGGCGCAAACCCCGTCCATACATTCACATTTATCGGTCTTAAGCTGTATATTTTTTTTCTCCAGAAACTTACGAGCCCGTCAACTTGCGCCCTGCGGTTGATCGGGGTCTGAGGAGTATCATATTATAAAGTCCAAAGTCGTGGTTTATTAGTTATTTCCCTTCCGTGACTGTGTTTGACTGGTCAAAAGCAACCCCATGGGACTCCACAGCCACATCCAAGACGATCCGTTCTCACTACCATTTGAGACAGATTGTTGAGTAGGAGGCTCCGAGCGTACCTTTACTTGCCTCATTGCCTTCTGTATCTACCTGTTGAGTCAAGAAATAGGTAAGAAACTTCGAGTAAAGCCGCTGTCTCAGAATTGATAACCAGCGAGTGCCACAGAACTCTGTTGCCAGTGCCCGTTCTCACTTTTCTGTTTCTGCTCACTTTCGAGCATCTCTCAGCTTCCTGAAATGCAATCTGAATTATTCCAAGGACCAAATCGCCTAGTGACCGCCATTTTGGGAACACCTTCCGTGGCAATCGAGATTTGACAATAGACACATACCAGATCAATCCTGATGCTTTTCGATTTATCGCCTATAGATAGGATTGAATGCTACTTATAGGGAATAGTGTTTCTGTCAGTAGCTACGTTCATTTTTATGTAGCCAACTCACGGGCGCTGGTCACCTGCCATTCTCATAACCACTTGCATTGATGATTCTCACGAACTACATGTGGCCTGCTTATCACCTGCCCAAACACGCTCGAATTCCGCTTTGGTCGACTCCATTTGTCCGCAGATAGTTGGCGATGGTGAACCGAAGCCACGAGACTTTTGTTGCGAATGCGGTTCGTGACTTGGGATGCTACCCGAGGTAGATCGTTCGCGATACGAACGAGTTTTGTATGTCGTTGTATAGCATATATAATCGGCTGAGACTTCCTGCTGGAAATGAATCGAACCAATCATGGTTCACGCATAAATACTTACTGTAATCGATAGTGATGTCTTGGCCACTACAGCAGAAGTTGATCGAGATATTCGCCGAGAATCTAGGTTGAACGTAAGGGCATTCTAGTCGTGATTAGTCGTTGGTATACCATCGACCGCGCTTAGCTTTATCGCGAGACGCTTGATCGCTTCACCTAGCCTGGGAAGTATGAAGCTGATCTCAAATTCTTGGAAGATACTTGGAACCGATCGAGTAGTCATGAGTTCAGAGAGGTTTGAAAACAATCGGTTCATCAGAATTCGATTTCGTTGTGTGTGTGTGTGTGTGCAAGTAGATCAACACGAGCACCGATCATCAGATTGTCAAGTGTCCAGCAAAGGTCGATTTCGTCTACAAATCGAGGTGTCTCTGTACGCAGTAGCGAGACAGGAGTGAAAGAGCGACCTGTGCTCTCAGATCTACCTGCTGCATCTACTTCTCGCGAATAAGTGCTCCGCTCACACTGCATGCCTTTAAAGACCCTCTCGTTAATGCAAATCTCGATAAACCTGTTTGTTACAAACGGGTCCCTGATGGTGTCCCCCGCCCAGCAGTTGCTTCCGCGGGAGCAATGTATTGTTCTTATCATGATGAGACAAGCGTAGGAGGCCTTCGACTTCGTGGGAAGCCAGGAAAATTGCTTTAATATGGGTACATTAGATGCAATTACAAAATTCCACCTCCTGGCACGTGAATCAGAACTGAGTTTGGGGTTCCAAAACAGTGGAACATTGAATGACATTTTAATAGCTTGAAATATGGTTTTATATCTATAGCAAATCCATTATTAAAACCATCGACAAAATGCGCAATAGACGTACAATAACTACTAAAATAGGCGAGAAATCATGATTGTTAAAGTAAGTAAGTACGGGGGATGCGTGGTTCTGAGATGGAGTCATGGGGTCACCTAATAGCTGTACGTGGAGATTGTGAATCAGAACCGAACAGGCAGACGACGACCAAATGTGTGGACGTGGCCAGGCACCTAAGGATCATACTAAAAGAGAGCAAACATGTATATAAATAGTATGCAGATTTATTGGGTGTTTTGTGAAGATTTGTCGCAGTTAGACTCAGGCAGACAGCCACCCCACATCCAGGAAAGCGCTGAACGGCTGTTTCGTCCTATTGAGACTCGTCGGTAGCGCCCACCTGCCGGATTCGAACCCACGGCCTTACTGTTGCGAGCCAGCGACTTATGCCACTGAGCCATGGGCGACGGCAGCGGACCGCCATGACAAGTCCCAATAGAACGAAATGACCGTCTAGCGTTTCCCTGGGTGTGTGATGTCTGTCTACCTGAGTATAACTGCGACGAATCTTCACAACAGATGTGTGTTCCAAGTTACCTAGCATGAACAGAATGACCAATAAACTAATGCCGTGTTGTGAATCTACTGTGCGTCGCTGCGGTGTTCCCCATTCGGAGATGTTTTGTGAAGCGAATAAGCAAAATTGAATAGGAAAGCTTGCACGTAAGGAATCACGTCAGCACAACAAGGGATTATAAGGAAGGTACCAGGAAAATAAATGGTTAAAACGAATATGACTAGAAAAGTTCAATCGAGTTGATCAACTATGATCCGAGCACCGAAGTGCGATGAATCCAGCTGCCACGATTCACATCGTGAATAGTTGGGTTGCGTGCAAACAAAATGTAGAGAAAATGCATTAAAGAAGGAACTCCGTTAGATTAATCCGAGTGGAACGAAAATTTACAACCAGATGAAAGAAGCTGAAGGCA